CTCACTGCAACCTCCGCCTCCCGGATTCAAGCCATTCTCCTGCCTCAGTCTCCTGAGTAGCTGGGATTACAGGTGCCCGCCACCACGCCCAGCTAATTTTTGTATTTTTAGTACAGACAGGGTTTCACCATGTTGGTCAGGTTGGTCTCGAACTCCTGACCTCATGATCTGCCCGCCTTGGACTCCCAAAGTGCTGGGATTACAGGCGTGAGCCACTGCCCCCAGCCTATCTACTAAACTCTCTAATGTTAGTGTTACTGGGGTTTCTACCATGAAAAGTGGCAATTACACTATGAAAATATTTCAAGGCTAACATTTCATTTCAACCTACACAGCCAGCCTCCTAACTGCTTGTTAGAGTGATGTTTACCTCTCCAATCAAATATTTCAGGGCACACTTGGCTTCCACAATGGTGGCAATATTCTCCCAGCGTTGTTTTGGTCTGTCCTCACTTTCTGCATCTAGCAGCTTCTGCTGTAGGTCAGCAATCTGAGCACTCCTTCAGGGAAAGAAACAGTGAGCCTTACTGCAAGTAGCCTGAACATCAAGGAGAAGGGGGAAGAACTCTAAGGAGAACTTCAAACGTTACGAATGGAGCTATCAGTTAAGTATCATTTAAATAATGTTTGAGTCATCTAGTTAGGATTCTACATAGTATCTCAAATCCTGTTACAAAGGGACTCTAAGAAACTACCTAAATAGTTTTATTCTATTAAATACTGGTTGAAATAAATGGGTCATAAAGTGGGACTTGGAAAGACTTATCATGATTGAATATAACGTTATTTTGTCTTGAGGCCACATAAGCTCAGACTGTGACATGGTAGTCCACCCATGCAAGGGTTAAGATTCAGGCTGGAGACCTGAAGGAAAAATCTCAAAAGAACAAACAGGTAGATATGCTCTTTACTACAATCAAGTACCAAAATGATACCCATGGCTGGTGTTGTAAGAGGTTATCTTGATGTGCCTGCCCCAAGACTGAGAAGTTTCTAAGAAGGCTAGATATTCTGACCCTGGTTATGGCTTCTGGGTACTTTCTGATCAAGTATGTCCTACACCAAGGTCTACACAGTATTTAAGTTTCACTAATAGCTTTCTTCTCAAATTTGTTCTGTGTCTAGTGAGAAAGAGGATACCAGCATGTACCTCATATGCAGTGATAAGTTTGGTACTATAAGGGAGATGGGTATGAAAATAATCTAAGACTGTAGTTCTCAAATTTTGGGGTCTCCGGACCCCTTCACAGTCTTAAAAATTATTGAAGACCTCTAAGATATTCTGTTCACATGTGTTATACCTATAGAGATTTATAGTATTAGAAAGTACAACTGAAAAAAATTTTAGCTGGGCACAGTGGCTCACGCCTGTAATCCCAGAACTTTTGGGAGGCCGAGGCAGGTGGATCACCTGAGGTCAGGCGTTCAAGACCAGCCTGGCCAACCTGGTTAAATCCTGTCTCTACTAAAAATACAAAAATTACTTGGGTGTGGTGGCGGGTGCCTGTAATCCCAGCAACTTGGGAGGCTGAGGCAGGAGAATCACTTGAACCCAGGAGGCGGAAGTTGCAGTGAGCCAAGATCGTGCCATTGAATTTCAGCCTGGGCAACAGAGCGAGACTCCATCTCAAACAAACAAACAAACAAAACTTAATTCACTTAAGAATCATAAACCTATTGGCTGGACATGGTGGCTCACAGCTGTAATCCCAGAACTTTGGGAGGCTGAGGAGGGTAGATCACCTGAGGTCAGGAGTTCAAGACCAGCCTGACCATCATGGTGAAACCCCATCTTTAAAAAAAAGTAAAAAAATAAAAATAAAAAAAAGTTTCAGATTCACCTCGGCCTCCCAAAGTGCTACGATTACAGGCATGAGCCACCGCGCCTGGCGAATCTGAAACTTACTGGTAAACTTTTTTTGTATTCTCTCATGTTAAAATTCATCAGTCTATCTTGCAATCTGAATGGATCATTTACCAATACATGATTCTATAAAATGCCATTTGGACAATATTAGTCCAGAGTCATGCAGGTCTTCCAAATGTTAACAAATTTCATTCTATAATGTATATTTTTTAAAAATCACACTTGTTAACATCACTACTAGTGTTATCAGAAAAGTTGTTAAAAACGGTCAAGTTCACAGTGGCAGATACAAGTTTTCCAAATCCAAATTTTGCTTGAAAGCTCACATTTTATCTTAGGTAACAAATACTGTCAGCTGTTTTCCTTAAAGCAACAGGCTTGCTCTGTACTTTTTGAGAAAATGTCTGCCAAGTAACCAAGTCTTTTTTTTTTTTTTTGAGACGGAGTTTCACTCATGTTACCCAGGCTGGAGTGCAATGGCGCGATCTCGGCTCACCGCAACCTCCACCTCCTGGGTTCAGGCAATTCTCCTGCCTCAGCCTCCTGAGTAGCTGGGATTACAGGCACGCGCCACCATGCCCAGCTAATTTTTTGTATTTTTAGTAGAGACGGGGTTTCACCATGTTGACCAGGATGGTCTCGATCTCTTGACCTCGTGATCCACCGGCCTCGGCCTCCCAAAGTGCTGGGGATTACAGGCTTGAGTCATCGTGCCTGGCGTAACCAAGTCTTAATAACCACAGTTTGTCTGTCATTTGTTCATTTAAGTAAAAATGATGTCCCATGAAAAAAGAGGCCTATTGAGCTCACACCTCAAACAATCGTACAGTGCTTTCCTTGAGATGACCATCATATTCAGCATGCAGCAGAAGTGCTTTCTGTGTTCTGTTTTGCCAGAAAGGATGTAACAGATATGAACTCCAGGGTCCAGATTTAGTAAAACAAACAACTTTCACTAATTTTGCAATCCCACTCTTAATGAAGACTGGCTTGGTTTTTTAAAACCTGAGAGTATGTGGTGGCGAAGCATACAATGACTACTAGTTCAGGGTGGTGCCACTGCTTTCACTCAGCCTAGGGTTTCAGCACTTTAGCCCACTACAGCTTTTGCATTTTCAGTGCAAATATCAATGTAGCAAAAAGGGCAAATAATGCCTTAATGTTATTATGAAAATAGTTTTGATCACTTTGACTCCCTGACAGGGCCTTGGGGCTCCCCAGGAATCTGTGGACCACACTTTGACAATCTGGTCTAATGTAGAGTCCTTTCCTACAACAAGCTTATAGTCTGTCTTTAGAATGACAAAATAAATATAAAGATAACATGTCAGCTGTATCTCATAATTTATATCATAAGTTCTGAAAGAGTTTAGAGAACAAGGAAGATTAGTGAGGGATTAAAAAGTCAGGGAAGGCTTCTGGAAGAGGTGGGGCAGAACACTTCAGAGTCGCCACCTATCACTGGCCTTTTCCTGTCTTCTCTGACAATTTATGTCCCTTATCTATTCCAGAATTTAGTTTAAGTCTCATCAGTTCTAGAAAAATTCTCCTAATTAAACTTACGTCATTAGACGTCCTTCTATTTGGCACCTGCCCTACATTTACATAATCATTTACTTATCTACTTGGTATGCAGGTAAATGTTTAACAACCAGCACTTAAAAAAAACAGCTCTCAGCTGGGCACAATGGCTCATGCCTGTAATCCTGGCACTTTGGGAGGTCAAGGTGAGCAGATCACTTGAGGCCAAGAGTTCGAGACCATCCTGGCCAACATGGTGAAACCCCATCTCTACTAAAAATACAAAAATTAGCCAGGCATGGTGGCACGTGCCTGTAATTCCAGCTACTTGGGAAGCTGAGGCGTGAGAATAATCTGAACCCAGGAGGCAGAGGTTGCAATGAGCCAAGATCGTGCCACTGCACTCCAGCCTGGGCAACAGAGTGAGATGCCGTCTCAAAACAAATACACAAAACACAAAAACCCCAGACCTGATTTGTAGCTTTTGCTAGTTTCTATGGTGTAAACAGTCTCACCATAATCAGTTGTAAGCTATCAATGGTTTACAACATTCTTGAAATTTTAACAAATGATTCCAGGACACCACTGTGGGCAATGAGAGCAAGGGCAATGTCATCTATTTTATCTGTATATCCCAACTGCATCCACTGTAGCACAAAGCAGGAACTCAAAGCTTGAGTGATTTATAGATGTATCCAAAGATAGAGTTAGTATGTATTGCTAAAACCAGATTAAATGATCCCAAGGTCTTCTGGGCAATAAAATTCCATTATCCTAACACACGATAAAATCTCTGTCAAGGTTCTGTTCCTTCTAGATTTCATAACTGCTTAAAATAATCATGATTAGAAGAGGCTGTGTTGCATAATTTCTGGTCTAGGGCCAGGAGAAGAGGGAGAGAAGAACATTCATCAACCACTTCTTTCTTTTTAGAGACAATACGAGTGACCATGGCACAGGGAACACAGTCTCAAGAGTTCCTGAGAAAGTGCAGTCTTCATTGAGTACTTCTATTTTTTTTTTGAGACAAAGTCTTGCTCTGTCGCCCAGGCTGGAGTTCAATGGCATAATCTCAGCTCACTGCAACCTCTGCCTCCTGGGTTCAAGTGATTCTCCTACCTCAGCCTCCTGCATAGCTGAGATTACAGGTGTCTGCCACCACACCCAGCTAATTTTTTGTATTTTTAGTAGAGACAGGATTTCACCATGTTGGCCAGGCTGGTCTTGAACTCCTGGCCTCAGGTGATCCACCCGCCTCAGCCTCCCAAAGTGCTAGGATTACAGGCATGAGCCACCATGCCCAGCCCATTGAGCACTTCTAATATGCCAAGTACTGTTATGCACTTTACTTACTAATTTTATGTAATGTTCATGACAACTTTACTTACATCTATTTTCTTGATGATCTCTAAAGTTCTCCTTCTGTGTTGTTGCTCTTCTATTATCATTTCTTTGGTTCCTCTAAAATTCTGTTATTGGTTCTACATCTTAGAGACACTACTGCATCAAAAAGTATGGTATCTGACTCTCCGATTATCAGTTAAAAAGAAATAAATAATAAAGAGAAAAAATTGTGCTGTATTGTAAAAAGCATGGGCTTTGGAATTAGAGTGGGTTTTGATTCTCAGTTCTGTTGTTTGTTAGCCAGTTAATTACCTTTGGCAAATTTCTTAAGATCGTTGAACTTCTTTGTAAAAATTAACTAATTAACTAGTTTATTAAAAATCCAGTCAAATTTAGCAGCGAGGGGTTGTATACCAACTTTAGTGACACTAATGTTATTAAGTTCTGATAATCCACTTCCATACAACCAAGTTCATTTTTGATCCCTAAAGTGAGAAGAATGATACTTACCTTATAAGGCATCAAAGGGATTGAATAAGAAAATGTATCTAAGATACCTAGTACAGTGTCTGCTCCAAAAAAATTGTTATTTTCTCTTGTTTTTCTGTCATCACAAAGCTTTTGGATCACTGGATTAATAGGTTCTATTTTTGATTACAGGCATAAATTTTCATAATGGCTTAGAGATAGTCCCTATTACCTGAATTCCATTTCAGTCTCTAGGCTTTCAATCTGCTTTGTAATAGAATCTTCTGACTCTGAAACTTGACCACGCACTTCATTAAGGGAGAATGTACGCCTCTGTAAAGAAGAATAGTGAGAACAAGGGTGAACTACTAAAAGAAAAGTAATCCTCCAAAGCTATGAGGATTTCTGGGGAATGTAGAGTCTGATTACTGGCAACATTTTTTCATAAAGGCACTTACCCGGAGTTTATGGGGTGGATTCTCCCCAGATTCCTTTTTTTCTTTGAGTTGAGCCACATCTTGAGCCAGGATCTTTCTGTCTTCAAGGAGGTCATTCAGATGGCGTTTGGCTTCCTCAGTACTAACCATAACCTCAATTTCATTTCCAAGCCAATTCTGGAAGAGAAATCAGTGATATCTGGGTTAGGGATGAGGAATCACTGGCTCATGAACTAGATTCAGCTACAGACTTAATTTCATTTGGACCAGAGCCCAAGTAGCTACAAGTGTGATATCCATTCATACCTACACTTAAAATTGTCAATACCTCTCAAAGAGCCTTTAACAGCAATATCCCAAAAGGTCATGAGAAAGAGGCTTTCTCCAGAAAATCTTTCTCCAGATTCCTAGTATTTCTGTGTGCCCTGTTCTTTATTTTCTCCATTGCCCTTTTTTTTTTTTTTT